TGAAGGAACCTGGGGTATGGATTTTAAATACAGAAATGTTAAAGTATGAAAATTTAAAAAAAGGGATTGAGAATTTATTAAATGAGGAAAAAAAGGATGCAATGTATTTAGAAGATAAAAGACAATGGTGGGAAAATGTGAAATTTGAAATAAAGAAATAATCAACTAAGTACTGTAAGGTACTGCAAAGGGTTAAAAGGACTAAGGAAAAAGAAATAAGGAAAATTTAAAAAAAAAAGAGTTAAACAAAAAAAGAAGTAAATGTACAAAAAGTGTTTGAAATAGTGGAGAGGCTGAAACAAATTGAGGAAGAGAAATGCAAGGGAGCTATGTTGAGAAGTAAAGCTAAATACACAATAGAGGGGGGGAAATGCACCAAATTATTTTTTAATCTTGAAAAAAGCAGGGGAAAAGCTGAAACGATCTAAGAACTTAAAAACAGAGATGGCCGGTCAGTTATTAATACAGGGGATATCTTAAAAGAAGTAAAGACTTTTTATGAAAAACTTTTTAAATCAGAAGGGGTGGATGAAGGGAAAATGAATGTTTTGTTGCAACAGATAACTAGGAAAGTTGGAAAAGAAGATAAAACAGAATGTGAAAGGGAGACAGGAATAGAAGAAATTATACAAGCTATAAACCTCCTAAGAGTAAAAAAGAGTCCAGGAATAGATGGCATTGGAAGTGAATTTTGTAAAGTTTTTAAGGAAAAATTAAGTGTGATTTTAAAGGAAATTTATGATGATGTTTTTAGGAAAGAAGGAGTTAATCCAAGAATGGGGTTAGGTTTAATGAAAATAATTTACAAAAGAAAGGGTGATAAAACAAATTTGAAGAACTTTAGACCCATCACAATGCTTAACACTGATTTTAAGATTTTAGCCAACAGATTGAAGAATGTAATGCCAAACATAATTGAAACTAATCAAGCGTATGGAGTAAAGGGGAGGGACATAGCAGACATTACAAGCAGTATAAGAGACATAATAAGCTATATAAAAGAAAAGGAAAAGAATGCATTTGTTATTAGTTTGGATTTTGAGAAAGCATTTGATAGAGTAGAGCATGGATTTTTATTTTCAGTTTTTAAAAAAATTGGTTTTGGGTAAAATTTTGTTAAATGGATCGAAATTTTATACAAGGATATTTTAACGAAAGTAAAATGTAATGTTTTTTTAACTCAACCTTTTAAACTTTCAAGGTCCATAAGGCAGGGGTGTTCACTATCAGTGCAGCTATATTCATTGGTGGCGGAACCTTTAGGAATTTTAATAAATAAGGAAAAAGGAATAAAAATAGAAGAGGAAGGGGAACTTAAGAAAATCTTTCAGTACGCTGATGATACGACAATTGTGGTGGAAGATATGGAAAGCGTTAAAAAAGTAATGGAAAAAATTAAATTTTATTGTGATGGGTCTGGTGCAAAACTCAATGAAGAAAAAACTGTGTATATGAAATTTGGAGGGGCGGAGGCTTTAACAGAGGTTTTTAAGTTTATGGAGGGGCAGGAAATTAAGATTTTAGGGGTGGTTTTAGCAAAGAACAAAAAAGTGGCAGTAGATAATATGTGGGAAGGGATAGTGGGTGGAATGGAGAGAAGATTGATTTTCTGGAGGAGCAGGTTTTGAAGTTAAATTTTAATTGTAAATATGTTAATGTTGTCTAAAATGTGGTATGTTTTACATGTGATGCCATTGCCAAACTGGGTCTTAAAAAGGATGAAGAAATGTGTTCTAGAGTTTTAATGGGATAAAAAGCCTTCGAGGATTGCTTATCTAACATTAATAGGGCAGCTGGATGAGGGAGGGATGGGTTTAGTGGATGTAGAACAAAAAATGAAAAGTATGAGGGTGAAAGTTGTAAGAAAATATTTGGATGGGACATACAAAGCTGAATGGAAGAAATTAATGGGTTTTTATCTAAATAAATGTGGCAATTTTTAATTGGGGGATAGCATTTTATGGATGGAACTTAAAAATTGGATGCTAGAGGGGATACCAGGATTTTATCAAGAAGTTTTAAGTGCTTGGAGTACGGTGGCTGAGAAGTGCAAAGCAGATCACAATTCTGAAAACAAAATAACAAATTACAAACGCAAATGCAAGTCTAAAAAACAAAATAACAATTCAGAAAGCACAACAACAATTCAGAAAACAAATTAACAAGTCAGAAAACACAACGACAAATCAGACAAACCGGAAGAGGTAGGTATAGTTTGAGACAGCGCCATTGGTTTGGGATTACTCACCGCTGACTGGACGAGACATCTGTCAATCACCATATACAGGGAAGAACCAGCCGAAGAACAGCAGAGTCGCGGTAGAAAGTTCGGAGATGGTAGTAAAGTAGCTCAGTTTAAATGTAGTGTATGAATTGCCCTTACTCTGGAATTAAAAATACGGGGTGTCTATTTATATTTAGTTAAATGTGGCTATAAAACATGAGCTCCAGTGGTGCAGATGGTTCTGTGCGTGGCCTTTTGACGCAATCGACCCGGGTTCGATCCCGCCTTTTGCCGAGTTTTTTTTTCTCTCCCTTTTCAAATCTCGTATCACATCGTAAAGGCATTTATTTTCAATAAAAATTAAGGAAATAATCAAAAAGTTGAAAATAAAGTATGGGGTAGGGTTAGGGTAGGTGTAGGGAGGGCTTTATTGTACCAATAAGGTGGCATCCATTTAATAATTAAAATGATAATTTACACAATACGTTATTATTGCATACTGTTTTATAATGTACTACAGTACTGAAGTGCAGATATTTGCCACTATTTGCAACAAGTAGTATACTTGATAGTAGAAATCCTGGTATTTTAACATAATGTAACTAGGTATTTGCACTTAGCAGTCTTTTTAGCAATATGCTATTTACACTATTTTCACTTAGTGTAAATAGAATCCATTGCTAATACGAGATTTGAAAAGGGAGGAAAAAAAAGTTCGGCAAAAGGTGGGATCGAACCCCGGGTCGATCGTGTCAAAAAGCCAAAGACACATGTTTATCCATCTGCGCCACTGGAGCTGATGACCTATGGCTACTTTTAACTAAATGTAAATATACACCCCGTATTTTTTATTCCAGATTAAGTGCAATTCATACAAAACATTTAAACTGAGCTACTTTAATACCATCTCCGAACTTTTTACCACGACTCTGCTGTTCTTCGGCTGGTTCTTCTCTGTATACGTTGATTGACAGATGTCTCGTCCAGTCAGCGGTGAGTAATCCCAAACCAATGGCGCTGTCTCAAACTATACCTACCTCTTCCGGTTTGTCTGATTTGTCGTTGTGTTTTCTGACTTATTTTGTTTTCGAATTTGTCATTGTGTTTTCTGACTTGTTATAATGTTTTCTGAATTGTTGTTGTGCGTTCTGAATTGTTATTTTGTTCTTTAGACTTGCATTTGTAATTTGTTATTTTGTTTTCAGAATTGTGATCTGCTTTGCACTTCTCGGCCACCGTATTGGAGGCTTTTTTTAACAGAGGTTGAATTTAATCCGAAGGGGAGGGAAATGGTTTTAAATCAACCTCTGTTTCTGAATGGGAGAATAAAGACACATGAGCGGGACATCTACTTTAAAAAATGGCTACAGGTGGGAATTTTAAAAATAAGAGATGTTTTATATGAATAAAAAGAGGGATTTTTATCTTCGCAAGTTATTATAGATGCAATGGAAGAGGAGAAAGAGGATTTTAATGTAATGGTTTGAAGGTGGCAATTCCAGGGCAATGGCTAGATGCAATAAGTAAAGGGGGGGAAAGTGAAAACAAAATGGATGTGTTTTTAAAATGTAAAGATAAGTTGATTGATTTTAATATGGGCACTGTTAAAATGTTTTACAGTTTTTTTAGAAATTCAGTTTTTAAAAAACCTATCGTTAATCACTTCTGGACGAGGCACTTTAATGAAATTGAAGAGAAGGATATTTGGAAGAACATGAAATGGCAATGGTTAGATATGGATCTGGAAAGTTTTAATTATTTTATAAGACATAATGTGTTTACTTAAATGTGACTGTGTGCAATGCAAACGGAAACAAATGCCCAGTGCAAAGTATGTAAAAAGGATGATGAAGGTATTCTACACTTGTTTATATTTTGTGAAAAATTGACCCCTTTCTTTAAAGAACTAAAAGAGATAATTAATGCTTTAAGAGAGAACAATGGGGATTTGAACTGGGAGAATAATTTTATGTTAGGAATGAACGAGAATAATGTAAATAAGGAATTTATTCATTTGTTTCTAATCCTGGCTAAAAAGGCAGTTTGGAAAAGGAGAAATGTGGCTAAAAATAGGGATTTTATTTTAAATTTGTGGTTACTTTTTAAAGGGATGGTGGAAGATTATATTCAAATATTGTATAATTATTTTACATTGGAAAACAAGGTGGGGAATTTTTACAAAATGTTTACAAATTATGTTGTGTGTATTCTTAGACAAAAGCATATTACCATGCCTGATAATGATGGCTTCTAGTCTCCTTGTTTTTTATTGATTGTATGGACATGTAAAAATTATGATTTTATGTTTGGGAATTTAATTTAAAAAAGGAGAAAAAAAGACTCAAGGGCCGCAGATATCATCAAAGCAGTGACGCAGCGGATCGGGGATGGGAGGATTTTGGCAGTTAGACCGAAACAAACAAAGGAGTACGAGATAACATTGGAAAGTGAAGATGACACAGAGCTTTTAATAGATGGACTGATTATCAAGGGAGAGGACTGCGAAGTGAAAAGATTACAGAACAGAGACTACGTTGTCTCCTTCATGCATCTGCCCATCTACCTCACTGACGAAGAGATTTTAAATAAACTGGGGGGATGGGGAGTTTCCCCAATTTCGAAAATAAAGCAGTGTTTTTATCCGGGCACCAGCATTGAGGACGGGACGAGATATGTAAAGACGCGATTCCCGAAGGAGGTGGCCTCCCTCCCTTACAGCACGAAAATAGAAATGGCAGAGGGTCCACAATACTTTCGGGTGATGCACAGCCATCAGGTGAAGACCTGTCGGCTGTGCATGAGCCCAGACCATGTGGTGAAGGATTGCCCGGAGTTCAAGTGCTTTAAATGTGAGGAGAGGGGGAACTTTGCGAGGAACACCGTGACATGCCCGGATTGCAATTTGGTTTTAAATAAGTGTGAGTGTTGGATGGAGGGCGAGGAGGAGGAGGAGGAGGAGGAGGAAGAGCAGCAGGTAGGTGGGCGGGTGCATGAAGGAGACAACGAGCAGCGAGAGGACGAAACATGAGTACAAGGCGAAGGACCAGAATCAAATAACAATACAGAACAACAGAAAGAGTGTAACGAACAGGACATACAAACACAACAGGACGGGGGGATTTGGACACAGATCGTTTTGACTGACAGCTTGCAAAGTGCTTTGGATACTGTGGAACTGGACGATCAAATGAATAAAGAATTGAGCGATGCATAACAGGAGGGAATTTTATGGACACAGATGGATGTGACTGACAGATTGCAAAAGGTGATGGACACTGTGGAACTTGATGATCAGAATAATAAGGAACAATCTGCTACAAAGGAAAGTGAACAAGGAAAAGAAAACGAGGAGACACAGGGGAAAGCATCAAAAAGAAGAAGATCTGTAAAGGTAATGCCCAATTTAGAGACTGCAAGAAAAAGAGTGCTTAAAGATGATAATATTGAGTGTACGAATAAGTATGAGTTATTAAAGGGTTTGGAGGAGATGGACTGAGTTTATGGGTTTTACGTATGTTTTTATATGTTTTATGCTTTTAAGAATTGTTACTTTTAATGCTAGAGGGCTTTTGGACATAAGAAAATTTGAAAAAGTGAAAGAAATGTATAAAGGAGAAGATGTGATTTTACTACAAGAAACTAATTGGAGGGAAGTGTACATGACTGAAATAAGGAAACGGTGGAGTGGAGGGATTTTATATAATAATGGTGATGGGAGGCTGGGAAGAGGAGTTGTGGTTTTAATAAAAGAAAACAGTGGTGTATCATGTAAAACCATGTATAATGACAAAGACAGGAAATGTATCGCATTTGAAATGGAGTATGAGGGCAAAAAAGTAATTATGGTTAATGTTCATGCACCAACAGAAGAGAACGAAAAGAAGTTATTATGATGGGCTGAGGGAATGGTTTTTAAAAATGATAAAGGAAGAAAATAACTGAAATTATTAATGGAAGAAAGTAATATGATTGATGTATGGAGAGAAAGAAATGAAAAGACTAAAGAATATCCAAGGAGGCAGTTAGTGGGGAATTTTATGTGTCAGACAATAATTGATTTTATTTTATGCACAAGAAATGTTGAAGGTATTATCGGGAAATTAAATATGTGGAAACAAGTTTTAGTGACCATAAACCAATTTGTATTCAAATAGACTGGAGCACTGAGAAAAGAGGACCGGGGGTATGGGTTTTAAACACTGAGGTTTTAAAGAACGAAGACTATGTTTTATGTATAAAGGAAATTATTGAAAGGGAAAAAGAAAACAAAATGTATAATGAAGACAAAAGAATGTGGTGGGAGAATGAGAAATATTTAGTTAAAAAGTTTACAATAAAGTATTTTAGGCTAATACAGAAAAGTAAGAAAAATTAAATAACGAATTGAAGAATGAGAATGGAAAAGATATACAAAAGATAAAAGAATTAGAGGGAATATTGAAAGAAATGGAAGAGGAAAAATATGAAGGGGCAAGATTAAGAAGCAAAGCAAAACATACAGTGGAGGGGGAGAAGTGCACAAAGTTTTTCTTTGATCTGGAAAAAGGAAGAGGAAAAGCTGGAATGATGAAAGAAATAAAAGTAGAAAATGGTGTAGTAGTAGAAACAAATGAGGAAATATTAAAATAAATAAAATCATATTATGAGAACTTGTTTAGTGCAGAAGGGGTAAAAGAAGAATAAAAACTGAAGCAAATAAAAGCAAGAGTAGGAGAAAAGGACAAAAAACAGTGTGACGGAGATATAAGAGAAGAAGAGATAAAAACGGCAATAAGTGGATTAAACAAAAGGAAAAGTCCAGGTATAGATGGTTTGGGTAGTGAATTTTATATCGTTTTTAAAGAATTTTTAACCAGCATCTTAAAAGAAGTATATGAAGAGATTTTTAAGAAAGGAGAGATGAATCAAAGAATGGGAATGGGTTTGATGAAGTTGATTTACAAAAGAAAAGGACATAAAGTAGACCTAAAGAATTACAGACCAATTACAATGCTCAATACTGATTTAAAGATTTTATCAAAAATTTTAGCCAACAGATTAAAATAAATAATGCCGAGTATAATTAAAACAAACCAGGTATATGGTGTTAAAGGAAGAGATATCGTAGATACAACAATCAGCATAAAAGATATGATAAGGTATATAAATGAAAAGAACAAGAATGTTTTTTAAATTAGTTTATATTTTGAAAAAGCATTTGACAGAGTAGGACATGATTTTTTATTTGGGGTTTTAAAGAGTTTTGGGTTTGGAGAGAATTTTATTAAATGGATCAGAATTTTATATAAAGGGGCAGTAACGAAAATTAAATGTAATGGGTTTTTAACACATGTTTTTAAAATAACGAGATCGATAAGGCAAGGATGTCCACTATCAGCTCTTTTATATTCTTTTATTTCTGAACCATTAGGTCTGGCTATAAAACATGAAGAGGGAATAAAAAGAATAGGTGTTGAGGGAGAAGATAATAAAATATGTCAGTATGCGGATGACACAACAGTGATGGTAAAGGATTTGAAGAGTGTTAAAAAAGCAATGGAAATTGTACAGATGTTTTGTAAGGGATCAGGAGCTAAAGTAAATGAAGAAAAAACAGTGTATATGAGATCTGGAGGAGCGACAGATTTAACAGAGCATTTTACTTTTAAGGAAATGAAAGAAATAAAGATTTTAGGTGTTTTAATGGGAAGGGATGAAAAGAAAGCAGAAGAAATAATGTGGGAGGAAATCTTAGGCGGTATTGAAAGAAGACTACATTTTTGGAAACTGAGGACTTTAACTCTAAAAGTGAAGGTCTTAGTTCTTAATGTTTTAATGGTGTCTAAATTGTGGTATATTTTATATGGGTCATCTATGCCGATGTGGGCAGAAAAAAGGTTGAAAAAATGTTTTTTAGATTTTTTATGGAAAGGGAAGCCGGCAAGAATCGCATACAACACGTTAATAGGAGCAGAGGGGGAAGGGGGTTTGGGTTTAATGGATATTGAGCAAAGGAAGAACAGCCTAAGAGTGAAAATAATAAAAATGTACTTGGATGAAGAAAACAAAGTAGAATGGAAAAAAACAATGGAGTATTTTTTAAGTAAGTGTGGTAATTTTAATTTAGGGGATAATATACTGTGGATGAGGACAAAGAAATGGATGACGGAGGGAGTGCCAGATTTTTATAAAGAATTGATGAGCGCGTGGGGAAAATTTTTAACTTGTGTGTATTTTAATCCACAAGGCAGAGAGAACATTTTAAATCAATCTCTTTTTTTAAACAACGGCATTTTAAACCAAGGGAAGGGAATCTTTTATAAGAAATGGTGGGATGTAGGGATAACAAAAGTAAGGGATGTTTTATATGAGTTTAAAGAAGGGTTTTTACCAATACAATACATTGTGGATGTCATGGAAGAGGCAAAGGAGGACTTTACCAGACAGGAATTAATAAACAAATATGATTTAATTAAGAAAGCAATACCTGAAGAATGGATAAAACTAATTGAAAATATGGAAAAAACCAAACAAGGATGTGATATATATGTGAAAATGGAAGAAAATATGTATGCTTTCAAAGAATGTGGTGTGAAAAGGTTTTATTGCTTTTTTAGAGATATTGTTTAAAAAAAACCTGTTGTTGATCAATATTGTTTACAGAAGTTCAACTGTATCACCCCATTACAAATACCCCTGGCTTCACAGGCTCTCTACCCAAATGTACACTCTGAACTATTGCTGCAGCCCTCGGCAAATGATAAGGGTTCGAATGTTTCCCAGCAGTAGCCCTAGTGGTTTGACGCCTACCCCCTCCCTTGTTTGAATTGGGGGATCAACAACTGACATAGGACCTTCAATCCCCACCTCAACAGGACTTCCTACAAACCTCTCCGGCTCCAGTGGTAGATCTATTTCAGCTGCACCAGAGGAAAAGGGGGTAACACCTACAAGGGCTACCTCTAAATCATCCACTGCCACTGGAGAGGCAAATAGCTCATCCAAGTTGCCTTAACCCCGGATCAGCCATGTGGCCAGATAATTCTATGTGTGGTACTGACTTTAAGTGAGACCTATGCACCTGCTTTACCCGGGAAGGGTTGTCTACCTGTACTATGGTGTATACACCACCATCACCCCTCGGAGCTCTAACTACTTTGTAAATAGTACTGGATGAAAGATTTTGTATTTTATGACAACCACGGACACCGTAGTCACGCAGATAAACTTATTGGCCTTCCTGCAATGCAAATTCCCTTCCTACCTGACCATGGCGATTCTTACGAAGCTCTGCAGCGCTATCCAGCCGAGCCCTCACTTTGGTATAAGTTACTTTAAGTGTCTCTCTATGCTCACCCACCCAGTCTTTCACTTGTCCATTAGCAGGTATGTTCACTGCTGCGAGCAAAAAATCAACCGGAAGTCTGGGAACCTGTCCGAACATCAAAAAATATGGTGACTCACCGGTGGTCTGGTGAGGAGTTGTATTATATGCAAAACATACCTGCGCGATATGACAAGTCCATGACCTCTTCTGCTCCAAAGACAGCGTTCGAAGTAAGTCATGAAGAGTTCGATTGAAGCGCTCGCACTGCCCATTTCCCTGAGGGTGATATGGGACAGTGCGAGTCTTCTGAACTCCATACAACTGACAGAGCTGGGAGACCACGGCACCCTCAAAAGTCCGACCTTGATCTGAATGAATTTGCGCCAGTACACCAAACCTATAAAACCACTCGTGAATCAAAATGTTAGCTTCTGTGGTTGCTTTCTGGTCCCGTGTGGGCACAGCCTGAGTGTATTTCGAGAACACGTCCGTAAAAAAACAAGGACATGCTCTCGACCATCACTAGCCTGCTCCAATGTGGTAAAATCAACCGCCAAGATTTGATTAGGTCTCGATGCCAACAAATGGCCCATAGGAGCGCGGGCTGGTGGCTGATTTGATTTCACAATAGCACACTGACTACAGTCCTGGCATTTCTTCCGCACATCAGCCTCCATCCCAGGCCAATAACACCGGCTGCGTATAAGCTCATAAGTACGTTC